CATATAATGCAAAACATACTGGATTCGAGTAAACAAAACAATCTGAGCTGCACCATGGTAAATGTGCCAAGGTCGACATTAAGAAGGCAAATGACTGGAAAAGCAAAATAAACAGCATCGAACAAGAACAGTAGCATACTCTTCTAAGCGCGCCAAAACTTGACAATATATGGCATAAAAAATATAATTTTAACGATAAAGGTGGAATATGAGAAGAGAATCCGCCAGAATTCTGGACAGCAAATTGTTCGAGAAGAACAAATTGTGGCTATTATTCAGTGTGCGGTACCAGAGCTCGCTTATACAGGAGGCATCGTTTTATGAACTGGATGTAGCGACAAGAAAAGTCTTCAATGGTACCTCCAGAAACAGATACGGACAGAGCACATGTTCCGTGTAAAGAAGTAGGAAGAAGGCTTGGTTGTATGAAGCATACAGTGGAGCTAGAGACGTCATCCATTGGGCAATATGTCGCAAAGGCGGAATTTAGGAGTGCACAGTTGTAAAGGTTAGCGGCCTGGGAAAACTGGAGCAGCAAACAGCTGGAAATGCAGAAAATCATCGGTAGAATGTAGGGTACGCCTGCTACAACGGTTTGAAGAAATTCAGCTTCATGTCCAGTGCCTTCACCAACACGAACTCTTACAAGGTTCGTTGTTACGTTGCCAGAAGCAAAGTGAAGAACGTCTTAAGCGACGGATGGTCGTTATGCAATGCACCTTCCTGCTTCGAAACGCTCGCGAATCGAACATGCAGAGAAAGCCGGAACAAGAGCGTTTCAAGAATGGTCTATTGACATCTGTGAAAGGATTGGTCCGTCTCACCGGTGCCAAATCAATGGACGAAACATCAGCCGAAGGAGTGGAAGAGACTGGGCAAGGGCAGAATCTCTGGTATCTCCCAATTCGAGCCGAGAAGGAAATATTGCTCATCATCAGAGTATCGTGTTGGTAGATAAAGCAAAATGATAAATCACTAATATGGCACGTACAGCTGATAAAAACGTTATACTTAAGGTGAGAGATAAGTTGATGAAATGCCAAGAATTGTGGGTGGAAATTCTAAAGACCTGGAGGGTACAAGAGGAAGTCATTCCTGTGGTAATCAGCACTCTTGGAGCAGTGGGAAGAGACCATTGAAATCGATTGATAAAGCGATGGATGTGGATGAACTGCAGAAGGCAACCTTGATATTAACAGCCATAGTTTTAGGAAGAGTACTGCAAATCCCTAGCCTTTGGCAGGGGCTTACAACTGGGGTGATGGTCATCCCATTCATGTTATATTTCATGTAGTGTGACTGATATAAATATGCAAAAAATAAATAATAGGACTAATCAGAATGGTTGCAGCTTTGTAACTGCTACTACAGAAATTATCCTTTAAGCAAAGTCTAGATCATTAAGTCAGATATGTAGTAAAGGACCTTCTCGTTGGAACATATTACAAGGAAGAACCTAGAGTGTGCCTCATGCTCCTCCTAGTTGTTCCTCAGTCCCATAGTGGAAGTTCCAACTTCACTCCCATTGCCCAGTCTTGCTGCAGCTCCGCTAATTTACCAACATTGACAAATATCCAACTGAAGAATAATGGCATATATGCATAAGCTTGGAAAAATTTACGATTTTGCTGGCAGATGCCTACCTTCGAAGTGGCACAACAAATGTTAGTTTTCCCTACATCTTTATACCTTCAATGAAGCATAATCAGGTTGTCTAGTTGTCATTTCTGACACACTGGATTCGGTACACATT